AATATGTATTTTTTATATTTATATATAAAATATGTCTATAGATGTATAAAGTGGAATAATAGTGTGGAAAACTATGAAGTGGAACTATAGAATAAAAGTAAATAAGTTGGAAAATGTTATGTGGTTTTATATTCATTTGCATACTATAAAGTGTTCCAACATATTACTAACATCCTTGGGTAATACACTCTGTGAACTAGACTGTTCTTCCCTATTGGTTCAACTGTGCTTTAAGATGTCTATATTGTGTTTCTTTGTAACGGTTTCTGTACACCAGGCAGAGAGTATTACTATATGGAGGTTATTTTAAATTATGTATTTGTTTATTCAGTGTCCCTATCATATAAATATTTTGAAACTACAGATTTCTGCATATTTCCATGGCCTGACAGGAAAGTACATAATCATGTGCATACTTCAGGCATATATTCAAGTTATTTCCTCAATAGGGATGTAAGAAGACAGTCCGTTTTAAGTGTGTTTGGCTCTTGTACAAAAATTAGTTTGACTCTAATTTGCGCAGGACTATAATTTCTATTTCTCAGTTACCTAAGGGTATCAAACACTGAACCTCCTCACTGGAATGCCAAATCTTATTATATGCTATAGACTAATCTTCTGTGAGCTTTTAAGTCAGTAACTCACTGGTTTACATACATACCATTTTCACCAGTGAAAAGTGACATGTAACTCACATTCTGGGTCAGATAATATAAATTGTTTACCAGTCTTAAAGATACCATCTGAATGGAAAAGACTTAAAAATGGAAGAAAGTATTGCTGTCTATGAATCTTTTATTAAAATTAAGTACAAACACCTCAGAGTTACTAATATCTAGAGAGGCAGTTGTCCTGTGATTTGGAAATTATATGCCCTTGTTGACACAAAGAGATGATATGTTCATTCTTAAGGTGGTATTTCTGATGTCTGTTTATATACTGAAGAATTCAGTAGCCTGTATAAAATCTGGAGAACTGTGATTTTCCAACTTCCTAATGGTATGCAAGAATAGGATAGAGGATGAAGGCAAGTACTGTATTTCCTAAAAAAAGCTATGGTATTTCTGAATTAAAATACTCAAATTTAAAACTGCTGAGGATTAGTTGTCACTCAGTCACTGTACATCACTGTCTTACCTAGTGGCAAAACACATTGGGATGTCAGAATGACATATATTTTCCCTCTCTCACTCTCCACCAAGCAGGATTATACAATAATAAAGTGGCATGAAAACACATTTTTTAAATCAAAATAGCATGCAGGTCAGTCCTTCTGCCATAATAAGCCTAAGACACACACTCTTCGGAGTTAGTCTTGTTCACAGCCAAAGACAGTTTCAAGCTCTCCAATAATAATCTTTCTGTGTAGTCTGGACCCTGAGGTACTTTAGGGGATCATTTAGGTAAATAAGGTAAATAGATGGCTAACTGAAAGATAAGGCTGCATCAGTGTCATACAGTTTTCTCCATCTATGATGTGTACATTTCAATAGTCAGTTGACTGTATTGATCTGGATGACAGAATACAAACGAAGGTTATGTAGTAATACTGTGAAGGATGTTTTCCATGTTACTGAAGTTATCTCCTAACTAAAGTTCAAAGCAACAGCAAACCTCTTACTTTCATATGGAACCTGATATCTGCATATATATTTTCAGGAAATTTTATGATATGAAATAGTTATGGGCCCTTTACTTAGCCCAAGCACCATAAAAGGCCTGAGGAATAATCACTGTAATTTATAATACTTTCTTTTGCCCCTCAAACTCTTGTGTCAAGCTATGAAGGACTGGATAGGGACTGGAGATGTGCTTTGCAGGTGAAGAATGCTGAATTGGCAGGTGCCAAAGGAGTTATTCTGTACTCTGACCCTGCTGACTACTGCGCCCCAGGAACAGAGCCCTATCCAAATGGCTGGAACCTTCCAGGTGGAGGAGCCCAGCGTGGAAATGTATTAAGCCTGAATGGGGCAGGGGATCCTCTGACACCAGGTTATCCTGCAAAAGGTGAGTGACACTGAAGAAGTCATGCTCTGAGGGTCTGGTTTCAGGAAGGTGGGGGAAGGTAATGGGGATGTTCTTTCCCTTGGAACAAAACACATTTTTTCTTGGTCTTTCTGTTGCTCAAAAGAGGCAGCTTTGGGCTTCACGTCAGTAGGCCACTTCTGCAAACGGTGCATGAGAGAAAGTGAGGGGATGTTAAGGGAGCCACACAGCACAGTGCTGGGCTGCTTGACTTCACAGGCATACTCAAGTTAGCCCAGGGATCATAACACAAGTATTTGACAGCTGAAACCCTAGTCTTTTCTTTCTGCTTCTCATCAGTCAGTCAGCAAGGAGCCAGCCTGCACAGCACACAGGTTTCTTTGCTTTTGCAGTTCTCCTTTCTGCAGGAGTTGGGCTGCTTTCCCTCCACAAGAGCCCCTACTGGCAATACTGAGACCTTTCATGCTGGGGCTCGTCACCTGGCTGCAGCTGAGGCTCCTGAGAAGATGACCTTTCCCCACTGGTTCATCACCTTCACCTCATGCTTCCTCAGTTACTTATTTGAGCTCTGCCTAAGCTGTTTCATTTAGTACCTAACCCAGATCGTTTTGACTGAAATGCATTAAGAACCATTCACGCCAGCACTTGAGCCAGCATGTCTAAGGGGGGCAGTCATCTGAAGAAGAGCAGTCCCTAAGTGATGGGGAAAGTTGTCTCTAGCCAGCACAACTTGAGCTGGAAGAGGATACATATTCACAATGGCAGCATGGCAGGAGCAGACCACGAGGAAGATTTCTGGTTCCTCTTGCTAGAGTCAGTGATCTCATAGATGAATCCCTGTCTGCTTCCCCCAACAAGGGTCCCTGTGAATGTTGTATTAAGGAGGAAACTATTCTTTTCCATATCTGCTGGCTTGCAAACATCGAATTTTGTCTAAATTGTGAATTAAGATTCTCATTTGTAAAAAAACCATGATTTCTATGTGAGGTCAGTCAGAACAACACTTAGGCTTCATTTTGTTCATGAAAACAGCAAAACAGACTATTCAGTAGCCCGGTGTATAAGATTTTTATCTGCATCTCTTATCAACTGGCAAAATATTTTTAGTTCCCAGCTGAATGTTCCAAACATCAGACTACAGGATCCCTCTTTGCTCTTGTTCTTTCTCTGTGGCTTAGTCTGAAGTTCCCTCCCATGGAGAGAAATATTTCTACCTAAAAGCATTTAAACACAGAAAGTTAGCAAACAATTTTAAATTTTCCAGTTATGTCTAAATGTGTGACTGCAGACACTATGGGAGAATCTTTGTTAGTGTCTCTCTGAAAACATGTTGATAAAACATAAGGAATGAAGTCACTGAAGAAATGTCAGCCCAACTTCGAGGAAAGTGAAATGATTCTCTCTGACTCCAGTGTTAGGACTGTGCTATGAACTGTGCTAATTCCTTCTGAGAGTTGTAAATATGAAAATATCTGTCTTTTGCTTTCAGAATACACGTACCGATTAGACAAAGCCAGTGGTGTAGGTCTCCCAAAAATTCCAGTTCATCCCATTGGCTATCATGATGCTGAGTCATTACTGCGGTGAGTATATGGGAGACATGAGGAATTTTAAGCAGTCTGATTTTTGAAAATTATGGAGTATTTGAAAAGAGAGGGAAAAGGCTTTTGCACTGTGCTTCTACTGTAGCTGTTGAAATAGTGTATGTTTGTTCACCATGAGGTTCTCTGTAGGAGGCAAACATGTTATCTATTACTACATACTGGATATGTGCAGAGTCATCTGGAAAGGATCATTTGTAATATATCATGATCAGTCAAGTATACTGAAGTGCCTCTCAGTTTGAATAAAGGGAAAAATTTTTGAGGATGGCATGATACCTGTCTTGTGAAAAAGACCACAAATGAAGTCATTCATTTGTCTCGGGAAATACTTGCCGTGCATGTTTGAAAGGACAGTATCTGTACTGTCCTCTGTAGAATGAAGGCATGTGCTTTCTCTCATCAGGTGCATTGTGTTGCATAAATATGAAATGATGCTAGCAAACTAATATAAGGACTGGGGAAACTCTTGAGTATTATAAGGGATTGAACAGACATCTAAATATACGTAAGTGTGCTTAACAGTGACATGAAGACAGGCTACCAGCTTGCCAGAGGACAGCATTAATTAATTATGTTAACAAACCAAGTAAGTTCTCTGAAAAAACTAAGGTGTGATGTATGTAGCAGTAATCATGTGTATCAACTACAGAGATACAGAGCAGGAAGTACCAGGGCTGGCAACAATACCACAGATAAGTGTTTAGGGCAATAAGTAAACGTAATCTTGGGTGTGTATTTGTATTGGAATTTTACATCTAAATCACATGAGCAATCATTCTTCTCTGTCTGATGCCTCTGTTTAAATATTGAGTAAAAAAAAAAAATTCTATCTTGGTTCTCTATGCAGGTTTTCCTCTGAAATATTGAAGTTATTTGTTTTAATATGAGGCAGAATTTTACTGTCTTTGGTGTCTTTGCATACGTGATGTTCTTTAACACTGTTCTAGTGTTTTTCCTATTTCCTCCCAAACTTTCATGGACTAATACGTCTCCAAACTGTCTTTTCTTTAAAACTTTACAGTCATCACTGTTAATGAGGATAACTGCTTATAATGATAAAGGTATAGGTTAAAAAAACCTCATTTTTCCACTGCCGACTCTCAGTGGTAGAGCAGATTAATATGTATAAATATGATGTAGCTAGATATTGCTCTTCAATAATTTGTGAATAATTCTAGAACTTGTTTTTAATAATTATGAATGAAATCTAAATCCTCTAAAAATACTGGGTCCTTGTTCTCACTTTTGTCTTGAGAAGTCATAACTTCTAGTTATTCCTGCTATCATTTTTATATAAAAAAATATACTGAAGACTTGAAGACGTGCTGAAGTGTTCTGTGGAATAAAGCTTGACAGAAGTATGCATTTACGGTAAAGGACGTGCTTTCATTTACAATAAATATATTTTGCCTAGTAAGAACCAGAACATCCAGCATACTTTTTAATACATTTTTTTATGTTTCTCACAAGTTCATGTCAAAAATATAAATCCTTTAGAATAGGTGAATAAGTATGGGCAATTGTGATCCACTGAATTAGTGCATTTCCAGTTGTGTTAACTGAGAAAAAACATCTCACCTTTGACAATAGAACAAGAAAAGGTGACTCGGACTGAACATATTTCTCCAATCTTAGATATCTTTGAAACACATCAACTCTGTCTATGCTACCAGATTAAACAGTATCCAGGGACAGGCACTGGAAGGCAACTGCCTATGCTGTTACACTGTTAGAATGGTGCAAGTTACTCTCTGCTTATTCAAATGCAAATGCAGTTCAAGGCAGTAGAAAGTTCCAAGGACCATTTACAAGAGGCAGTTTGTATGCAAAGCCTTTGGAGGTGTCCTGGTTTCAGCTGGGATAGAGTTAATTTTCTTCCTAGTAGCAGGCACAGTGCTGTGTTTTGGATTTAGTAGGAGAAGAATGTTGATAACATGCTGATGTTTTTAGTTGTTGCTAGGTACTGCTTATGCTAGTCAAGGACTTTTCAGCTTCCCATGCTCTGCCAGGTGCACAAGAAACTGGGAGGGGGCATAGCCAGAATAGTTGATCCAAACTGACCAAAGGGCTATTCCATACCATATGACGTCATGCTCAGTATATAAACTGGGGGGGTTGGCCGGAGGGCAGGGATCACTGCTCGGGAACTGCCTGGGTATCGGTCATCAGGTGGTGAGCAATTGCATTGTGCATCACTTGTTTTGATTATTATTAGTATTATTATTATTTTATTGTTACTATTATCATTACTATTTGACTTTCTTCCAATTATTAAACTGTTTTTATCTCAACCCAGGAGTGTTTCTCACTCTTACTCCTCCGATTCTCTCCCCCATCCCATCGGGGTAGGGGGAGTGAGCGAGCGGCTGCGTGGTGCTGAGCTGCTGGCTGGGGCTAAACCACGACAGGAGGCCAACACTTTTCCAGGATAGTTGTAGGCCATTCCAAGCTGATCTCAATGCCCAGGACTATGCCTCTGTGTTAATTTACTAATATTAATGTAGCTAAAAAGACAGATTATTCTCCTGTGGAAACTTGTATAAATTGTCTAAGACAAAGACCATCACTGTTGTCTGTGTGTGCATGGGACCTAATAGAAGTGTGGTTCCTGATTCCTCATTTGTGTTTGGTGCTATTGTAAGATGTCTGTAACTAAGAATGATACTGGGTTTTTTTTTCCATAATAGTAATATGGGAGGATATGCACCACCACACAGTAGCTGGAAAGGAAATTTGAATGTATCTTACAACGTTGGTCCTGGTTTCACAACAAATTATTCTACAAGGTCAGTTTTGTTTCATAAGGAAAGCATGCTCAGGATCAGAGAAAAACAGGTGGAGCAATAGAATTTGATCAAAGGTAGAGTAGTTGGGGTTATTTGCATCATTCCTTTGAGTATGACCATTTCCTGGGCTGAAATGTGCTCAGTGCAAAGCTTCAGTAGATTTATGTCTTGATTGGATGAATATGGCTGAATTGCTTTAGTTTCCAGCTAGTCTTGAACCGGTTTCATTTGAAAAGCATCTTGCTTTTGACAAACTGTTTGATGAGAGTGATTATTTTTGTGAACTGAATTTGTGTGTTTTATTTTTGAAATATATGTGGGTCCAGCTTCTGGTCTTACCTATTGCCTCATACAAAACAATATTCACCTACAAGTCAAGTTTTCCAGAAAAAAAGCTTCAACTACAATATCATTTTTATTGCTCCAGATTGTTTGTAAACTGATTTAGTAATTACAGTTTAGGACTAAAGTCCAGGTGTTCCAATATTAGCTGAGCTATTGTACTGACTTCATATGAGCCGTTTGACCTTTTCTTTATGTCTTAGTCATACCACATAAAAAATAATTTCTGAAAAATATACAGGCAACCCTTGAGGATGAGTTGTTGCACCTCCAGCTGTGCTGTAGATAAACAAAGTCTCTTGATGCAGCTCAGGTTGCCTGATTTTCTGCCGCCTGAGTATTGACTCAGTATTGACATGCTGGAGTCATTTCTGACTTGCACCAACCTCTAGGTGATTAGAACTATTTACCTTTTTAACATTAGGTGGTTTTCATTTTTCTTTTACTCTTCCAAATTTAAAAACTAGTTGCTAGGAAAAAATCATTGAATTTGGAGTTCTGAGCCTGTTATCCATATAAATCGTACTGACATCAGTAACAGTACATAGCTTTCAAGGGCTAAATGCTGTTCTCGGTTGCACAGGTATCAATCCAGAAAAAAAATACACTGACTTTTTTTCAGATTTACTTTGGTTTAATGGAGGGTAAATCTGGCCAAAATGCTTTCCTTACAATTTATATTGTACACTTTTGAAAGGTGTCAAGATGTTTTATTATCTAATCTGGTGGATTTTCTCTTCGGATTTTCTTCATGATACACTAGAAAGGTGAAAATGCACATTCATAGCCACAACGAAATAAGAAGGATTTACAATGTGATTGGTACCATCAGAGGCACAGTGGAACCAGGTAAAGTCATTTTTCTTCAGTGTAATATGAGCATGCAGTGACCTCTACCTGCACTTTGTATTTACAAGGGGGAAATGAGGAATATAGTTTTCTCTGAAATATTGCACTACATGATCATTGGTGTTGAAATATTTATTTTGCTAGCTTTCATATAGTTCCGGGTATGTCAGTACTTTCACTGTAAATGCTGATTTTCAAGGGGGAATTATAACCAAGACAGAAACATTTGTCTTCAGACAAGTAACTTTGCAATTGAAAGTGCAACTGAAAGAATATTAAATGCATGTTCTTCCCTGCTAACATGGGAATGGATTTTGCATTCCATCTGAAGACATCATATCCACCACTATTGACTTTTTGGCTGTCTTGTAACCAGTGGCTGTCTTGTAACCAGTGTGATTTTACACTCTAAAAAACCATATATATATATAGACATCCCTAGGATGGTGATAACATCATTTAACTTGTGACTGCAGCGCTTCCCTGTTGCCTGAAGCACAACTGTTAAACAAATTGTAGTAGCACAAAGATCTAGTCTGACTTTGATCTTATTAAGCACATCTCTGTCGTGGTTTGGACAACCCTTTTTATGACTGACTACACACATATACAGAGAAACACTGCATTCAGCGCACCTTAATGTTGTGAGTTGGCGTGCTGTACAAATACCATTAGTGGATCAGCTTTACCATGAAATGTACTCTTGTAAAATGCGGAAAGATGCTTCTATCTTCAGAGGAAAGCTGCAGTATTTCTAATAATAGAAGTAACATTATGGAAGTTAGGAGGTTTTAAGTCTTATGGGATCAAGTTATTGTGTTTGATAAATTCTTTAGCACTGGCTGAAAATGCCGAAAAATGCCTTTGGAGATTTAAAATGTTTTTTGCCTTTCTATCATGTATATTATAAACTGTTAAGCTTTGTTGCCTGACACCTAGGTGGAAAATTAGATATTACTTCCAATTAACAGCTCTATGGCAGGAAAAAAGCTTTTCTAAGTAAACCTCCATAATTAATTTCTCTAGACAGATATGTCATCCTGGGAGGCCACCGCGACTCATGGGTATTTGGTGGCATTGATCCTCAGAGTGGGGCAGCTGTGGTTCATGAGATTGTGAGGAGCTTTGGAAAACTGAAAAGGAAAGGTAACATAATGAAAGAATAAAGCACACCAAAATCACTGCTCTCAGCAGTGCCCGTTGATTTCTCTGAGATTTAAGCATATGCTTAAAATTAGACACGTGCATCTCACCGATGTCTCGAATAGACATGCTGCTCTGCAGCTGTTAGTTAGTTCCAGTTACAACCTTGGTATATGTGACGTACTTCTACTTAAGAGAAAGTACACCTAAAGGAAAACAAAACACAAAATGGGGGATACTGAAATAAATGTGACATTGAGGTACCATTGATTACTGTGTATTTGAGGCGGGTCAGACTGGATGTTTCAGTGGTCCTGTAAAATTGTTACAGTGGTGGTCTGATCAAGGCTTCATCAGGGCAACATCGAGAGTCTTCCCAGCACTGCACTGTAGTTTGGAGACAGACCCAAGAATAAATAAAGCATGTCTGTGTAATGCAGAGAATAAGTTGTGCAAACATAGTAGGAGGTAATGGTTAAAAATACCTCATGCCTAGTTACATTAGAATAGGAACAAATGTCAACTGTACCAAGTTTCTGCTGCTGTCAGAGCAAATGCTATCTCCCTATCTGACATCCCATGGAAAGAAGCTCTGACATAACTCAAACACTGTGCTAGAGGAGCTTTCTTTGGCTACACATTAAACTTAAAACTTACTGACATATAGTTTTCTGTCCATTCCCTCCCAGGTATTGGATATCAGGGGAAACTGTCTTTGGAATGCAAGCTGAGAAAAAAAAAAAGGGAAAAAAGAAAGGGAGCAAGAGATGAAAAGGTTCCAGCAGCCTCAGAGAAAACTTTGGGCAAAGATACAGAGGCAGGGCCATAGAGCCTGTTCCATTTGGCCTGTGTTTAAATCGAATGCAGAACTTCAAGTGAAAGATCTTTGTTTTAAAGGTGATCTGTCAAGGTTACAAGGAATTCCTTAGGTTTTGGAATCTGGCATTTGGGAGACAGGTCAAAGAAATTCAGTAATGTATATGAAAACATGCCAAACACTTTTCGGTCAAAGTAGACACTGGTAGATAATGTATACTTGAACAGAGCAAAAGAGTAGAACATCTTTCAAGAATTTGTGCACAAGCACATTATTTTTCCTTGTGCAGGGCTTTAAATTCTAGAAATCTTTCTTGCAATTAAAGCTGAGAGAAGAAAAAGCGTACATTATTTGGCACAATATTAAAGTAGAAGTGAGATTGCTACAAAATTAGTAAACCATTACTAGATTAGATTAGTGAAGAAGTTGGTGTTAAAGTACCTTAAACACACCTCTTTCCCCATAGATCAGGATAAAAGTTGAGCCCCCAAAAAATGACATTTGTTTTCACATTATTTACCATGTAACAAGCAGTCTTTATTTCTGTAATACAATTTCCATGGTCTTTTATTGCAGGATGGAGGCCGAGGAGAACAGTGATATTTGCAAGCTGGGATGCAGAGGAATTTGGCTTGTTAGGATCTACAGAGTGGGCGGAGGTAAACCAATAGTGTTCAAAGAGCAATTTTCACAGTGGCAGATCTTTGAGAAATCTGTACCAGAAAGCAACACTTCTTCCCTCCCTCCCTCTCTCTTCCTTACACACACACGCACACGCACACACACACTCTTAAGTTTCCTTTTGAACTACCAAGTATATATGGCTCCTTGCAGTATATGATGTCTTTCCCTGAAATGGCTGTTACTTCTGTGGATGGGAAAATAGTTGTGAGGGGAAAAAAAGTTCATCAGTGTTTTCTTCCTCTTTTTCTTCTCCTAGGAAAATGCCAAAGTATTGCAAGCACGAGGAGTGGCTTATATCAATGCAGATTCCTCCATTGAAGGTACATAGTTTTGACTTGTGTTTTACAGGAATAGTGATGGTATATACAGATGACTTGAAGGCATTTTGGCTTGGAGATCCATGAAAGCTTCAATGTGATAATGTTGCATTAGGTCAGGAGTAGATATCGGGGGAAACTGTGACCCAGAATCATAAAGTAGCCTTCAGCAATTCCTGTTGCTTCAAGGAAGAAGTCCATTACCGTAGCTACACTATTTGGGAAGTCATGGGAAGGGACAAGCAGTGTTGTGCCCTCATCAGCAGTTCTATGGCAACTCTTTAAAGTGAGCTTCTCCTCTTATAACATGAGTAATAAACATAGGGACATAAGAAAAGCTCTTAAGGGTTGCTTCAAAAGCTGGGCTGTAATTCATCCTAACCAATTACAAATGTACTGACAAGATCACAGGAGAACTGTAACTGTAACAGGGAGAATCGGTTTGTTCCTTGTAAAGAGTGCAGCTCTAGTCCTTTTCTTATTAACAAATAATGGCATGGGATTTCAGCTGAGCACAATTTGCATCTTTGGATAAATAGTTTTTCCTGTTTTTCAGGAAACTACACCCTACGAGTGGATTGCACACCACTGATGTACAGACTGGTGTACAGTCTGACTAAAGAGGTAATATTGCTTGAAATTTTTAGCCAGCGCATTCAGTGCTCACTTACTGGATGGGGTTCTGTGTATAAAATAAAGTGTCAGATGTTTCTTTTCTAACTGCAGTACCCCTTTTAAGTCAATAACTAAGTAACTGGAGATTTTTCCCAGGAGTGGCAAGAGTATTTCAAGCTTATACCTTCAAATTATTAGCTATTCAGGACTGCGGGATTTTTCCACTGAACCAGAGGACAGAAACAAGCAGAAGCTTGGCTGCCCAGTCCTGCTACTAGGGTGCCCATGGTAGTGGGAGACTCTGACTCCCTTTAGGTGGGGGAAGAAATTAGGCTTGCTACAGCGTTGTTGTTAGCATGATGTGACAGGTTTGGTCAATGTGCTCAGCTTCAATGTATCCTGTTAGATATTCGTTGGCTGTGACCGTGATGCTCTCACACATATTTGCGTGGCACACAAAATTAAAAGGTAGGGACCTTTCTCAGGAAATAGCCTCACCATCTTAGATGTAAGATGTTACTTGCTTTGAGAGTCGGTCTTAGAGGCTGGCACTAAGGGCTTTTTATTTCTGGGTTTTTTTCTGTTCATCTGTATTAAAGCATGAACATTTAATTAGTCTTCTGTGTGTGCGTTTTATATACATATATATAATGTACATTCAACTACTGCATATATATTCTGTGAATCTACTATATCTGTCTTCATCTGCTGTATATATTCAGCCATCTGTCTTTTCCAGGGTTGATAATTTGTTATCTCTTGGAAGCTGGCATTAGACTAGGACAAAAGTAAAGGAAATGTAGTAATTTGGTGTAATAATCTTCTGGCAACTGAAAGACAGCAAATAAAATTTAACGCTGTTAAAATTTGGTGCCCAGATAAAGATATTTCTGTCCTGAACTGCAGAAGAACTGATCACCTGCAGTTCCCATGGTAACCTGTGCTATGTGCAGGTGCTCAGAACGGTCAGAAAATCAGGTCAGCAGGGTCTCAGTTTGGGCACCAAGAGCCATCCTTAAAATGTTGACCTAAATACCAGTAAACATGGTTGTGTAACCTTTCCTTGAATTGGGAAGCGGCAACAAAGGCTGATGAATGCATGTAACCACAGCTTGTTGGTAGCTGATGTCTGAAGAGAATGCTGATCAGGAAGCAGGCCCTGTGTGATCCCATCCAAAGTTAATCCGTGGCAAAAAGTGCTAACACTGTTCTATGAACAATTAGCTTCATGACCAAAAAAGCAAATATATTAGTTTTATTTTGATCACTATTGTGGAGTAATTCTTAGATAGTAGGTGTAGATATTAATAATAAAATAGATACTAATAATCTTTAATAGATTAAAGATAATAAAACCTCAGCAACCCATCAATAAAAAGGAAAGATGAAAAAATACCCACAGTGTTTAATGTGCTCAGTAATCTGGAAGGTAGTCTGAAAAGAGTGATAGAAATGAACTTTAGCGTGATCATGATTTGTATACCTCTGTAGCAGCTATGATGACATAAACACCAAGTACTGTACACTTTGCCCTTCTAAGGTTACTGCTGCATCCATGAAAATAATTTTTGTGACCTAAACCAAGGTAGAAACAGTTTTGAATTAAACCAAGACAAAATTGAAATTTCCTGCCAAAGTGAAACAAGGAGTTTTGGTTTTGTGAGGGATTTTTGTGTTGAATATTTAAATTAAATGGCTGAAAATCTTGTAAAGAAATATCAGTATGTAAATATTGATTTGAAATGTTTTACTTTCCCTGTCTTTTCCTTCATCTAAAATTACCTATTTTTAGCCAATAAACTATTCCTCTGGAAAATGCTACGTATTTGAAATGTTAAAATGGAAATGCAGAAAGGTTGAAGGACTGACGACTGTGGCTTACTCATTGCCCTAAGCCATAGGCTTTATGTGATGACAGGTTGTAGATTTGTTGCTTGGTAACATTGAAAATTGTACCTTTTGTCTTTTTTTACAATATACTTTTTCTAGATACCAAGTCCTGATGAGGGGTTTGAAGGAAAATCTCTTTATGAAAGCTGGTATAAAAAAAATCCATCAAGAGAATATAAAGAGGTCCCCAGGTCAGTGACAAAAGAAAATAAACGATATTCCAAAAGTTATTTTAACTTGTAGAGTGTGGGTTTTAAAGAAATAGCCACTTGAAAAACTGAGCGCCTAAAAAAAAAGGTGTGATTCTCAGCTGATATAAATTTCAGAGTTTTATTGATTGCAGTTGATACACTATTGTACAACAGTTTTGTGAACTTGCCTTTTGTAGCATGAACAGGAGGTTTTATATATGAAAAGTAAAGTGTATTTAGACAAATAAAGGTAGTATGCACAAGCCAGCGGCAAGCGCACAAGATGCTAACACAGCAGCTTTCCCTTGCTTCCAGTCTCTGGAAGGCCTCTGAGTGGTGGGCTGGGGAGCACGCCAGGCAGGTTTTTACAACACCGTCCTTCAAATTTACCAGGATTTCTATATAGAATCTCAAAGACTGGTTCTATTCCATGGAGCCGTGCTGGTACTGTTGTGATTTCTCTGAGTTGGGACCTTGGGATAGTGGAAGTTCAGTAGGAGGAAGGTCATTGGGTCTTCTCAATGAATAAAGACAGTGAGTTAAATTCCCCTCCTGAGAGTTTGATTTCTCTGAGCCTGAGAATGATGACTCTGCTCCTCCGAGAATGCAATTGATGAGGGGCATGTAGTGTAGGGGTCATAGGCAATTCATGGTATATTGACAGAAAGAGCATACTACGGAAAGACTGTGTAGTGACTGTGACTGCAGAATAAATAATTGCTACAGTACTTGGAAGCAAGCTAAAATTATACTTTAAGTATTGTCACTCAAGGCATTTTCCTCTTTCTTGTTGAAAGAATAAATAAACTGGGTTCTGGCAATGACTTTGAAGTCTTTTTTCAACGCCTTGGCATCGCTTCAGGCAGAGCACGTTACAGTAAAAACTGGGTAAGTCTGTGTCTTTGTAATTTTGTCTCCCCTGTAACTGCCTGAATAATATCACCTGTAATTGAGCCATTTAGACTGCCAGCTTTTTGGAGTAGTTCAGTTCAGTGTGTCAGGATGGAGTCCCAGTTCATGACTAGAACTCTACGTGCTACTATGGCACAAGTATTTAATAAATAGTAATGGTCAACTTGGTGTCAGTCAGACAAAAGGAACTTTGCTCAGGGTCAATGGATGTGCTCAAAATTACATTTGTTTGATGAAGGCTTATGAGTTTTGAATGATTTGTAATAACTTACGAAGCTTTGAATTCAAAGGGGTTCATGTTTTATGGAAAATATAGGTTTGACTCTGGAGCGTACTGTGAGATGAGACTAACTGAGAAATATTCAAGGAGCAATCTATTCAATGTGGTCTTTTCCTCTGAAAAGGCATATCCAAAGACACAAACAGAAGTGATGGTTGAGATCCAAGCAAAGAGAGGAAGGGCAATCTCACCTTGATTTAGCCAATTAAAAGTTCTGTGTCCATTCTTAGCTACCTTCTTTAGGCTCTGTACATGGTCAGTGGAGAGAGGCATCTCCAAATGACCGTTCATCTCATCAGAGGTTGATGTCTAAGAGAGCCACCGCTGAGCAGTTCTTCTCATTCAACTGTCTGTAGTAGCTACGTAGGATTAGCATGACCTGGACACTTAACTTTACAGTGCCTTGAATCCGACAGCAAAGGTTTTCAAGCAAAACTGAAATATCTACAGCTGAGTAATGGTTTTGTTTGGGTTCGTTTGTTTCAGAATGTAGAAAAATATAGCACCTATCCAGTTTACCACAGTGTCTATGAAACCTATGAAATTGTGGAGAGGTTTTATGATCCCACTTTCAAGAATCATCTGACAGTAGCTCAGGTACGGGGAGGGCTGGTGTTTGAATTGGCCAACTCCGTTGTGCTTCCTTTCGACTGTAGAGATTATGCATCAGCTGTGAGCAGCTATGCTCACATCATCTATAACTTGTCAAGGAATCATGAAGAGGAACTGACAACATACAATGTATCCTTTGGTATGTACAGCCTTTCATTGCACTCCTCCTCCATTAATGCTAGAAGTGCCTTATCTTAATGTATGTCTTAGCCATGACCTGGTATTTACCATGTGCTGTATGAACAGTAAATAAAACAAGAGCCACACCCTCCAATAATTTGAAATTTGAATATTTTGTCACTAGCATGCCTGTGGAGAGATTATGCCACTGCCAAGTAGAGCTAATACTTACAGTCACATGTTCTTTGACCTGTGCATGGTTCACTGATGTTGGCAACAAGATGTTTTTGCCTTGGTCCCTAAAAAAAAAGTCACACTGCTTTGCAGCTTATGGTGTTGGATAATTCTCTGTCCAACACTGATTGTAGGATCATAGGATAATACAGGTTGGAAGGAACCTCAGGAGGTCTCTAGGTCAGCCTGCCCAAGGCACGGTCAGCTCTGAGGTGAGACCAGGTTGCTCAGAGCTTTATCCCATCTGGTCTTGAAAACCTCCAAGGACAGAGACTACAGAACCTCTCTGGACCACAGTGCTTGACTGTCCTCAGGGTGAAAAATATTCCCCTTATATCCAGTCAGAAATTCTCTTGTTTCAGTTTATGGGCATGTGATGGCAAGTGCCCACACCATAAGAAGTTTGCCTCGGGGCTTGGTCAGGCAGGAATTGTTAAGCCCTATGTCACAATAGGGATCTTGTGCTGGCATGTGAAATTTTATTTCATGTTACAGGGATTCACAATATACCTCCTGCCTAAGAAGCCTTTACTTTATTGGCAACATTATATATTACTCAGTTTAGGACTTCGCTGCTAATGATCAATATTGGGCGCGCGCGCACATACACACGCATACTCTCAGTCTTTCTCAAAACTCTGCATGTGTGGAGGGACATACCAATAAAGCATAGGTTGTTGGGGCTTATAAAATCCCAGACCTACCTGAACAGTCTGGTTCTGGCAATCCATGCTCCAGTTTTTGGTATTTCTGTACATTCTTCAAGTAGCAAACAATAAGCAATATTCACAACAATACTGGTTTCTATTGTCTCCAGGGCAAGTTTTCACATAGAATTACATAGTTTTTAACATAGGAATATGGGGTCATCTGATTTTCATTCAGTAAGAATTAACAGATCATGATCATAGTGAAAGATAAAGCTTTAATTTGAAGAATTTCCTTTATTAAATGATTCCTTCAGATTTTGAAGTTAAATGCTTCCTTCCTGTTCCCTCCAGATGCTCTCTTTTCAGCTGTGAAGAATTTTACAGAAGTTGCTGCTAGCTTTCACAAGAGACTGCAACAAATAGATATCAATAAGTAAGTTTAACTCTTTTTTTTCTTCTAGTCAAATACTCCATGTAGTCCCCTGGGGTCAGAGCACATAGTCTTCACTTCCATTTGGTCCCCTGAATAACCTTGGTGACAAATGACTGTCAGTCATTTGTTTCATTATAAGTCCTTATGGATTCTTGTCTTTAAGGATCTGGAAACAAAGTATAGAAATGATGAATTAGTGGATATCAGAGACACTGCAGAGCCTGGGAATCTAGCCATGTTAGCTTCAAAAAGTGTCCAAGCTAATTAGTGTCAATTCTTGACAGGTTTTAGTTGAGGAGCAGTGTGATACATGGATGTGACTAGAATGCTGGTTAGCATGAGCAGAGCCAGCTGAGGTGTGTAACTCCCTCCAAGTAGAGACACATCCTAGGATTTTGTCACTGGATTATCATTAAAGAACAAACGTTGACTTGTGGTCTTTGTTCGCCAGCACTCTAGTTTTCAAGATACTGGTACCACTTAATGAAAAAGAAAAAAACTATGCCATGATTGTGGTTGTGGCAAGCTTTTTGGCGAGCTTTCCCAAAATTGTATGCACCACCTATGCCAAAAGGCCTAATTTGCACTTGAGTTAATTCTTAATTTATTCTTTGTAGGCCATTCCCAGAATGAGAAACCAAACTTCCTTTTATGTATACATATGTGTATGTTACATTTGTTGGGAAGAATCTAATTTAGCCATATGCTTAGCCTTATGGAAGACTAAGTGAGAATAAAAGCCATATTTTTAATGGCAGCAACATTCAAGATAAATGAGTTAACAATAATTTCTTATGCAAAATGTGACATTTATGATATAAGACATGCATATGGCATTTTCAAAATGGTTTCATTGATGAGTGGCCTAAATCTAAGCTTTAATTCAATGAACCAGTTTCAGTTTCCATTTACACCGATGTAAACTTGAAACAATTTCATTGATGGTAGTAGAGTTACCCCAGGCTTATAGTGATATAAATTTTACCATTTTTTCTTGGTGAGTGCCTTTGAAGCGCTACAATAAGTTACTTTGGATGTAAACTACCAAACCCACATATATTCAATGCAATCTTCTTCACAGTTCTTTTATTTGTTAAGCATCAGCAGTATGCTCAGAGCTATTCAAAGCACACAGACACAGATGGTCTCTACTCTAGGGAATTTACAATCTGCCATCAGAAAAACACAATTCTTGGATGAGTCAAAAGATGATTCCAACATCACGAGGTTCCTGTTTCTCAGATGTTGTGGTTTTACGTAAAAATAAATGTGATTTTATTGAAGTAATTTGCTGCTGGCTGGCTTTGTGGAAAATAGGGTCTTTAGAAAACTCTGGTAGAGAAGAAGAGAATGGTCTGCCTAAGCATCCTGATGAAAAGGATATACAGGAATGTTCTGGTTTCGGTTGGGATAGAGTAAATTTTCTTCCTAGTAGCTGGCATAGTGCTGTGTTTTGGTTTTAGCATGAGAATAATGCTGATAACACACTGATGTTTTAGTTGTTGCTAAGTACTGCTTATGATAGTCAAGGACTTTTCAGCTTCCCATGCTTTGCCAGGTGCACAAGAAGCTGGGAGGGGGCACAGCCAGGACAACTGACCCAAACTGGCCAAAGGGCTGTTCCATATCATATGGCATCATGCTCGCTCAGTATAGAAACTGGGGGGAGTTGGCCGGGGACAGCGATCACTGCTCGGGGACTGGCTGGGCATGGGTCGTCGGGTGGTGAGCAATTGCATTGTGCATCACTTGTT